TTACCGAAAGAACCAAGAATATAACGTGAAGTAGGTTCAAACAACCAACTCGGTGTGGGGATGCCTTCATCTAATAGCAGATCGACAAAACAGCTCTAAATTGTTATCTGCACATTATAATCATAACCTATTATATATGTATGTAGGATCGCGGGAATTGCCAGGAGTAAATATGGGACAAGTCGACTGTTTGGGGGACAGGGAGTTGAACCTATGCGGAAGGTCTCGGGCCGCCCCTCTGTACTCCCTTCCCTTTCCCTCTGGCGGTGAAGCAACCGCCCCAGCAGCTGCCCGGCGAGTTGGCGGTGGCGCGGGAGCGTGGACTCGGTGAGGGTGATGGCCTCCGCCAGGCACGCGCGCTGCCCGCTCACCAAGCCATCGTAGAGATACGACAGCCGGTGCTCCTCTCGTGGTGACAGATCCGCACCGGCGGGTTCTGTGGTGCACATACGGACATACGCGCACGCACGTGCAGACGAAGACGCACGTATGAAGACAAAGATATAGACAAACACACACATGCAAAGAGAGACAAATACAATCACATAGACAAAGATAAAGTGCGCCGCCCATATAGTCTCTAACAGACTGTTGGGAGAATGCTTTCAGTGAGCACCTATTAAGGCCGAAACGACATACAAGAGGGATGGGTGGCTGCTTTTGTCTCCCCAATGCAAATGTTTAAACAAATCGCCAGGTACTCATGTAAGGCTCAGTCAACCTAGGGGAGGGCCAAAACAAGTCCAATAATCACTTGCCACTTCCGGCAGCCACGGCCTTGAGTCGAACCGAGGTTGCTGGGTTCACATTGCTAACCGCTACTGCCATTGCATCACAACATTTACAAACGTGGACACGAGCGCACACGTGCGTACAGCAAGTAGGTTACAAGGCTATGTGAGCGCAGTTTTGCATCCTATCGATTGTGTGCAGTGTCTCGAAATTTGCTCCCACAGGCAAAATATAAAACAATCATTGGCCAAACATTCCAAACACAAGACCTTCTTTAAATTGAATCTTGAGTTTCACAGTAGGCTCGGTGGAATTTCCAGCAAGTTGCTGTGGAGGGTGAGAAAAAGGCATCTGTACGGACTTTGCAAAGTTAAATGAACATGAGGACACTGACTTTACACAGACTGCATCACAGTTAATGCATGTGACCTTGTGCAACAGCACACTGCATACAACGCTATGCCATGCAGCAATTTACACACTGTCAAAAACACATTCCTACAATGTGAATACAACTACGTGATATACACCGTATCACACGCGTGGCATCTAACGTAACATATCATATCACATCACGCCACATAACCCAGTACACATGGAACGTTGGAATAACGTTGGTCCAACGATTCCAAACACATTGCATGTTTACGTGGAAAAACCTCATACACATGCATTCACGCATGTGAAATATCATATCGCACACATCACACATGATATCACAGCACAACTTAATTCCACACATCATACATTACACGGACCATACTCCATCACACCACCCATCGCATCATACTTCTTCTACATTACTCCCACACACACATCACACCAACCAAATCACACCGCCCATCACAAATGACGCCATGTCACACACACACGTCACAACGTCACCCACACCACCCGCTTAATACAAACAACCTCCCATCATACCACAACATCCCATCGCTCAGTCACACACATCACCCCCCCATCCTCACATCATCAAACACATCACCCACTACACACCCACACCAACATCACCCACTCTCACATCATCCCCCCATCCTCACACCATCAAACACATCACCCACTACACACCCACACATACCTCAACATCACCCCCCATCCTCACATCATCAAACACATCACCCACACACACCACAACATCACCCACGACACACCACATCACCCAGTCTCACATCATCATACACATCACACACACCACATCACCCACTACACACCCACCTCAACATCACCCAGTCTCACATCATCAAACACATCACCCACACACACCACAACATCACCCACGACACACCACATCACCCAGTCTCACATCATCATACACATCACACACACCACATCACCCACTACACACCCACCTCAACATCACCCAGTCTCACATCATCAAACACATCACCCACACACACCACAACATCACCCACTACACACCACATCACCCAGTCTCACACCATCAAATACATCACCCACCCACAGCACATCACCCACTACACACCCACCTCAACATCACCCACTCTCACACCATCAAACACATCACCTACACACACATCACCCACTACACACACACCTCAACATCACCCACTCTCACACCATCAAACACATCACCCACACACACCACAACATCACCCACTACACACCACATCACCCAGTCTCACACCATCAAACACATCACCCACCCACAGCACATCACCCACTACACACCCACCTCAACATCACCCACTCTCACACCATCAAACACATCACCTACACACACATCACCCACTACACACACACCTCAACATCACCCAGTCTCACACCATCAAACACATCACCCACACACACCACAACATCACCCACTACACACACACCTCAACATCACCCAGTCTCACACCATAAAACACATCACCCACACACACCACAACATCACCCACTACACACCAACACACACCTCAACATCACCCACTACACACCCACACACCTCAACATCACCCACTCTCACACCATCAAACACATCACCCACACACACCACAACATCACCCACTCTCACATCACCCCCCATCCTCACACCATCAAACACATCACCCACTACACACACACCTCAACATCACCCAGTCTCACATCACCCCCCATCCTCACATCATCAAACACATCACCCACACACACCACAACATCACCCACTACACACCCACCCCTCAACATCACCCACACACACCACAACATCACCCACTACACACCCACACACACCACACACACCACAATCCCCCCGCGCCCTCTCACCCGCAGCCCGCCTGTGAGCCGCCCGCGCTCCCCGCCCTTCCTCTCCCCGCCCGCGGCCTCTGTGTCCAGTCAAGACCGAGGCTCTGTTGGGGCCCTCTAGGCCCCAGTGAATGTCCCGGCCTGAGGGTCCAGACGGCAGCCGCTGCGCCCCGCGAAGGAGAGGGCGGCCCAGCGTGCCCGCCACCACCCTCAGCTCCAGCATCGCGGGCAGGCGGTGTTGTTTAATGCTTACTCAGACTGTTGTCAGTGTTGTATAACAGCGGGTCGTTAAGTCGCTGCTGTTAACTGTAGCACAAGAATTTGTCCTTAGCGGTGTAAGAATCGATTCCGACGTCACGGTTTCAATGCGGCCCGGAATCGAGAATCGATTACGATCGGGTGCATGATTTTTTTGTTATCCGCCTGATGAAGCTGGTTGTAGAATCGCGGGCGAAAGCTCAGGGTCGGTGCTCAAATTGTACACGTTGTTGGGTTTGCTGTACTTCAGCAGCACACTCCGGGTTGTGTGGTGAAGTAGTAACTATATATTATTGGGTCTTTTGGTAAAGTCAAAGTAAATAACAAAAAAATACAAAAACCTACGTTTTGATCGCAACACAAGCGTTCGTTATCAGGAAGAACTAATCTGCACGTTTTGTTTAAGTGACAACCCGTTACCCATTGGCTGTGTCGGGTGGTGGTGGGTTAACGACACATTTATATTTATGCGATATAAACCCCCCCCCCCCCTTATTATAGATAATGGTCGCAAAATTGTACGTGCTAAAACGGGTACAGTATTGTATTTGTTGTACCGTCTAGGTTTGTTAACCGGTAACTCGTCATAATCCATGACCTGTTCAGAATATCAGCAACCTGGTATTTGATTCCAGTGGAATGTGGCGTACAAACGGCACGGCGGCCTGAGTCACCGCGTGGTAGATTTACCCTCGTTTCGAGGTGGCTTGGAGATGTTAACCTCCTCGCCTGGTATGCAGGAGGTCGTGGGATTGATCCGCACGCTGACGCCTGCTGTTGTATATTTGGAGTTTGCGTGTCGCTCTCATCATTACAGTGACTGAGATGTTAACTACCTCGCCTGGTATACAGGAGGTCGTGGGTTCGATCCCGACCCTGACGCCTGCTGTATATTTGGAGTTTGCGTGTCTCTCTCTCATCATTACAGTGGCTATGAGATGTTAACTACCTCGCCTGGTATACAGGAGGTATCCCAGGGGCTGGTTATCACACAGCGTTATTAACACAACCTCCCGAGTTCGATTTCTGGCCACAGCTAAAATCAGTGTTGAGTCATGTATGAACCGGCCCAAGGCTCCAATTCACCAACGTGTATGCTGTATGTTGAACATCTTTCGCACCGTACGTAGCCAACCGTGCTAATCGGAGGTGTTGAAGGACAACAATCTAAACACAAAAACCAATTCTATTGAAATGAGTTTTCAACAGACTTAAAAGTGCACAAGTCCAGAGGCCTCCTCATATCGGGAAAGTGTTCCAGACGGCCGCAGAAGCGCATCTGAAAGCGCGAGATGCAGTGACCGTCTTTGTTCGATGGTTAGACAAGAGACGCTGCGAGGATGACTGCAGCTCGCGGGATGGTTTATGCTCCTTGACGAGATCCGCAAGGAATTGCAGTTCATGTGGCAAGCATGGTGATTTTTTGTTAAACAACCCCCATTACCAACACTTGCGTAGAAAGGCCTTCATCCAGCAGGGCATTTATAAATGCCTGCATTACATTATATGCAGGCAGGGAATTCAATCCTGTACTTTATAATTGAGTGGCCACTTTAACATTTCTGTAACTATCGATTTGACAAATGTACAGAACCTAGGCACATGTTTTGTACATATCGATGGTATGGGAACTTAAATAGGAATTGTTCCAAACACAAAAAACAAATCACTGCTTTGTACAAAAAAACATTGCCTTTATTTTAAAACGCATTTATGTACAAAATAATATGCACGCCACTATTCTGCACTGTGCAACGCAAGTCGGTACACATTCACACAACTGATTAACAGATGTACATGTTTATTACAACGTAGATCAGGGCTTACAGGTCACACTTTACCACGAGTAAAGTACTCGATCTATTCACGTGCAGTCTGTTCTCCTATAACGCCGCATTTTCACAACGCAAATTGGATATGACGTGATGAATGTATTAGGGTGCGCATTTTTTTCATGACGCTGATGTGAATTGGATATCACGCGATTGAGCGAACAGAACTACGTCGCACGAGTCGGAATAAGCCGTTGTACGGCTGCCTCGGCATAGCATCAACCAAGGCGGGATACTTCTCGACAGAGGTCGCAAACGGGTTTTGATTCCTTACCCGTACCCGGCCGCACCAGGGTCACAAACGGGTACCCGATTGCGACCTCTGGGATGAAGTCATGTTGCAGGCACGGGTGGGTTGATTCGAGGAACTTGAATTGTGAGAAGAGACAAGACGTTGGGAAATGAGTGACAAACGGTGACTCACCAGTAACTCAGGGCCTACCCGTACCTGGCCGCACCAGGGTCGCAAACCGGTACCCGTACCCAGCCGGGTATCGGGTCGGGTACGGGTATCGGGTACCCAATTGCGACCTCTGCTTCTCGATCAGTGGTTCTTAACCTTCCGGAAAGGGCATCATCTCGCACCCCCAGGGCGTGCGTGCACTCCAGGTTAAGATTGAGGCGCGTGCTATCCACGCGCCTCAATCTTTGTTCAGCCTGCACAATCCGCATCTCACGTGTTATCGCGGACTGTGCTTTAGCCCGTATTATTAGAACGTGATTTTTCTATAATGCGGTGTTTTACAGGAACGCAACTACCGCGTTATAGGAAAACAGACTATCGGAGAAGTCACATTATCATTGCACCACAAGACTTGTCTTGTTTTACTGTGAATATCACAGCCATACTAAAAAAATAGACGACTGAAAATAAACAATTACAACTATGCGATTGGTTGGATCCCTTCCGACCTTTCTGGTTTACAACGAAAACAGCACAGCAAATGGTCACTACAAGAAATAACACTTTTTGAGAAATTCACACGTATGTGACAAGGCCATTTTATCAAGTAGGATCTTATGTTTGGCATGTAACGATTTTCCCTCCTCATCATGGTTTTACGCCAAATTTATTGGAGGGACGGTTCGCCGATGGCGCCCCTGTGGCTTGACCATTCGCAGTTGACAGGGAGATTCCTGCGTGCATAACTGTACTGCTTGCGGTGATGCTGCCGCGAAAGGAAATACGCGTCATCTTGTCTCCATCTAGTCTCCCAAGCAGCCCATGGCGGGTCCCAGGTGATGTATTCCCAGCCTCCAGTGTGGCAGCGACGTTTGGCCACGTGATTTTTCTTCCTGTCATGTACAATACTGTACACTACCGTACACGGATGTGTACAGTATTGTACAATACATTAGTTTTTTTATTCTATACATTTACCGTACAAGCTGTATTTAGCGTTAGAAAATATTAATCGTCAACCTACTTTTCACATTTGCCTTCGAGTTTGCGGATTTACTGATTGCGGATATTTTCAAGAACGTAACCCTCGGGGATGGGCAAGGGTTTGCTGTATGATTCGAGCGATTCGATGCGTGTATTGTGGGCGTAACAACCAATGGAAAGGAACTACTGGAAGTGATAGAAGAAGTTGGTCTAGAAGTAGCGCTCCAGAAATAAAACCAGAGCAAGCAAAATGTTAGGTAAAATGTAAGTTACATATAAGTTCAACAAACCATCAAAGATTATCTCTCTGTCAGGAGTGTACGAGCAGGTTTTGGTGCTTTTGCAAATATGAACTTACTAATGAAACGTAACGTACCAATGTGCCTCGATAAGAATATTTCTAATCAGTGTATACTATCCGATATAACTTAAACATGGGCATGGAAAAACTAAATGCAACAGGAGCGGAAAAGTGTGCAAGAAACATGGCAAGGTGCGTGCTTGGAATTACACTGAAAGAAAGAGGAACACAGAGCAGAGAGCAGACGCAAGCCAGACACATCATATTGGTTAAGAGGCCTTCAGAACAGTAACACGTCACTGAAAAGGATGATGACATAGTGGTCGAGCCTAACGATTGAGTGGCAGCCAAAGGAGAGAGAACATGTCCAAGTGGATATCCATCGCCAAGATTGAGCGATTAAATCAGCTAATCGTGAATTGGGTGGATTGTTATACACTGCGGGATCGCGAGGGAAGGGAACGCTTTGGGGCAAGCCTTTATCCAGCAGTGGATAGTTCATGGCTACTGATGACTGTGAACATAATCATCATTTATAAATCGATACATCATTACACGCCTAGTTGATATCGTGGAAGAGATCCGTGCTCGGACGGTCACACCTCCGCGCATCCGAGGCCTCCGCGTGGCCCCCCCGGCCTTCACACCTCCACGTCGCTCTCCCGGTCGTTGTCCTGGTCTCCGTCGTAAAACTCGTTGGCCGCATCGGGCCTGCTCGCCGCGAGACACATCGCGTGGCGTCACGGGTAGGCACTCGACGGCGTCACAGAGCAACGCCGTGAACGCAGAACACAAACACGTGACCAACTGGGGACGAATGGATGGACAGGAGCCTATGGGGCAATTGCATCGCAAGCTGATCAGTCCATTAAATAGTCACCTGTCAATTATGCAGGGTAATGGGGGAGGGAGGGGTGGCCCGGATAAAGCAAAAACAATACAACAAGAACATGTAAATTAGGCGATGCAAATCTATTGGTACGACGTATGTTTCTTGCGGTTGTGCCCGAGCGTTGTTCGACAATATATCTAATGTTTCACTCCACGTGCTGGCAACTTTCTGGACACTGTGTGCCACATGTAGCCTATGGGCTGTACAAAATGAAGATGTGGGCCGGTTTCGGCCCGCAGGTCCTAAGATCCTTACCTCTGAGCTAAGCAATACGCGTGTCCGTGTATGAGTAGGTGAGTCTATGGGCAGGCAAGTGTGTGTACGGGTAGGTGTGTGTTCGTGTAGCGGTTAGCACGCTGCGCTACAAACCTGGCAACCAGAGTTTGATTCCCGTTCACGGCCAACACATGTGACGATTATCTGAACCGGTCATGGGCGTCTCCTAGGTCGACTCAGCCTCAAATGAGTACCTGGTGCGGTGCGTAAAAACATCGCCACGAGGGAGACAAAGGCGGCCGGGCGTGGTGCTGGCCACCCACCCCCTCGTGTGCCGTTTTGGCCATCATAGGTGCTCGCTAACAGCACTTGCGCCTACAGTCTAAGGCTACACGGGGGATCTTTGTCTTTGTGTATGGGTAAGTGTGTATGGATATGGTTAATTTCGTGTGTGGATGCGTGTGTGTATATGCGCGCGAGTGCGTTCGTACTTGACTATGGCGTCGTCCGTGCCGGGGCGGGCGTCTGGGTTGGGCTCATCCTTGCGCTCGTAGCTGAGTAAGTCGGAAGGAACCTCGTGGATCTGAACGCTGGGTGCGTGGTTCAGCATCTTCAGGTTCTCAAAGATGCTTTGCCGGATTTGCTCCAAGTACTGCAGTGCAGTGGGGAAGGCAAGGTAAGTATAGGACAGTGTATCCGAAACGTTGGCAAATAAACCAGGAATTGCATATAACGGAGAGACCACAAAAAATGTAAATACAATTCAATATCGCACCTGTGAGGCTATTTATATACAAATATCCCTGTAGCCCGGCGTTCTTCAATGCAAGGGCCGCAGGCCACTCGCTGGCCCTGGTGACCTCAGCGTGGTCGCTGACGTGCAACCCCCGTCAATGCACAAATCGTGAAAACACCCCATCACGCTGTCAAACCCAATTGGTTTCAAATGTGTGGTGGCCCTCACGCTGATGTTTTATTGGCAAAGTGGCCCCCCCCTCTGAAAATGAGTGAAGAACACTGCTGTAGCCTTTGACCAAATCACACATAATGTACCCGATCTCACCAGGTCTCAGACTCAAAGCAGGATTGAGCCTTGATTGTGTTTGGATGGGCGACAACCGTGCATAAAGCGGGTGTTAATGGCTGCTACAGGGCTCTGATGTTGGCAGCAGAGGGCGGAGCAGAAACATACATTACGGTACTGTAATTCTATGTGCCTGCAGCTATGCTCCCGCTGTCAACAAACTGCAGTGAACAGTGTGGTGAAGTATGGTGTCAGGCAATCCCCACGACTGACATGGGGTGGCGGATGCCTTAATCTGGCGCTCGCTTGAAAATGGGCTGTGAATTAGTGCAGGTAACAGTACATTGTAGACACTGTAATGTATGTATATATCGTAATGTTATCCTAAGTAATCTCGTAAATTATACAGGTTCCATATAGTAGCATCATGTATGTCGAACTTCTTTCGCACCGTACGAAGACAACCATGTCAAACGAAGGTGGGAAGGATAAGAAACTAAACACAAAAAATCAGTTCTAAAGAAATTAGTTTTCAATCTAGTTTTAATACATTCCTGCGGAGGGAGTTGGTAGGAACGTTGGGTTGCTCGGTCAATGGCCAGGGTCAACGGTGGCGTGGTGTATTCCGCAAATATGCCCAGCCCCTTTCCACCCAGCCCCACCCCTCCCACCCCCCACCCAGCCCCACCCTCCCCACCCAGCCCCTCCCCACCCAGCCAGCCCCTCCCCACCCAGCCCCTCCCTCCCCACCCAGCCCCTCCCTGCACGACAGACACAATAATCCCCTATGGGCTGATGTAACCAGGAGGTTCCTACCAGTAAAAGTGCATATGGCTCTAGTGGCTTCCCAATAAGTTGAAACTGCAGCTTTCCTACGTTCAAACTTGCGAAAGTGCATCATACCTGCTTGGAATTCTGGTTTTCAATGCGAGTGCTGATGTCTGGATGCAGACTGAAGTCGGGTGAAAAGTACTCGAGATACTCTGAAACAAAACGACATTGAGATTTATCGTCAAGTGTGTAAGCACATCATCAAGAGTAACGAGTTCAAGGACAGGTCATCATGCCTCGCCATCCCTTCCTTCTTCTTACAGATACTGCAGTTGTAAGATCAACATCCGACCTTCAAGATCTGCTCTTACGGTATCCCCACTTGCTTCGTCCACCCCTGGGTGTTCCATCCAAAGCCTACCTTGGCAACCTACCCCTCCTCCCTCCTACACGTCCCACTCATTGCAACATCCGCCTCCTGATTACATCTGCAAAACTTCCGTTTCATTCCCAATTTGTATTTTACTTCCCTTATTTTTTTCATGTTACTAACATTCTCCACATGGCACCTGTAATCAAAGGCCAGACATTTTTTCTCGAGTTCTTTTGTTAAAAAATACAGATCTCGTACCCATACGGTATAACCGACATCACTACTGCATCTTACCAAAGTTGGCATATGTAAAGTTTACACGAGGATGCGACCTGAGTAACCACTCACCGTTGTATGGAAGTTCATCGCTTATGGGATCGTTCATCAGCAAAGAGGTTTCGTATGTCCTGCAACATCAACGGCAAGGCATTAGGCACCGCCACCCGCAATCACCGATAGGCTGACAACCGTTGTAATGATCAGGCGGAAAGCGCGACTCACCAGCACCGTGCCACGTTCCTCACCGTGTAGCCCCCTCCGCCGAGCACCAGCAGCGGAATATTGAACGACTTCACAAAGTCTACGCACTCGCTGAGACCGACATTACACGCGCACACACACAACACCCGGTCTCAAGGCCCATCGCGAGAACATAACAAACTATAATTAAATTTCGATTTAAAGCTTTCGTGACTGCAGGGATTCATCTTCTTGGTTCTTTCGGTAAAGTCACGTAGAAAGGAAATAATAAAATAAAACATAATAAAATACAATTCTCACGACGTTTCGGCCACAACGCAAGCAGCCGTCCTCAGGCGAAGAACAGGGCTGTCATTCGGACGCTGTCTTTCCGACAGCCCTGTTCTTCGCCTGAGGACGGCTGCTTGCGTTGTGGCCGAAACGTCATGAGAATTTTATTTTATTATGTTTTATTATTATTATTTCCCTTCTACGTTACTTTACCGAAAGAACCAAGAAGGTTTTGTTGTTGTTTTATAAATAGACAAGCAAACTCTGGACCGGTTTCAACGTTCTTGGGTCTCATCAGCACCAATGGACTTTTTCTATCTGCTAGATGACTACTCTGGACAAACTGTCATGGGAATAATGGAATTAGTAGCATACTTTCTGGACAATGGGATTTTGTGGGTTAAGTTTTTCCATGACGCCCTTCGTAGTTACACGTGAACTCAACAAGACCAGCAAGCAAACCGCCATCAGCCGCCGCCAACACTTACCCATGTCCCTTGATACTGAGGTTGAAACAGCCCAAGCGATCACAGCCCAGTGAGTCAGCGCCGCACTAATTACAGGATGCACACACACGCATCTCCGATTAGCACGGATGGCTAAATACAGAGCGAAAGAAGATCAACATACATGCACGCCAGGTAGGAGGGCGTATCACAATGGTGCAGAACCAAGTGGACAACTTGCGAACAAGTAGAGCCAAATCGATAAGAAATGGGAGTAAGCATTTACACTATGAGATCTCTTTTACCAGTGGCAAAATATAGTAGTAGGTTTTTACCCTTTTAAACTGGTACAAAACTGACACCTTTATTCAAGGCATGTTTGCAATAACCACAACACAAGTAGTCAAAAAAGCAAACAAAAAGAAGCAACTCTGATAATGATAATAATATGCACTGTGCTTGAAGTTGATTGGTCCACACCCGAGACAGCTTTCTTTAGAGCCTAGTCCCCATTGGTGTTGGACCAGATGACACCAGAAGGCGTACAACTCAAACACAGTGCAATATCAGAGTATTGAGAGCTCGGGGTAAGCATTTACACTACGAGATCTCTTTTACCAGTGGCAAAATATAGTAGTAGGTTTTTACCCTTTTTTGACTACTTGTGTTGTGGTTATTGCAAACATGATGCCTTGAATAAAGGTGTCAGTTTTGTACCAGTTTAAAAAGGTAAAAACCTACTACTACTAAGAAATGGGAGGGCAAGCGCACACACATGGGCGATCGTACCTGCAGCACGATGCACGTGGGCTGGTAGAAGTCCATCACCTGCTTGATAATTGGCTGGAACAGCAGCCTGTAGCCTGCATACAACCAGCAATCAAAAAGTATACGTCAAAAACCAAGACCTTCTGTAGAGAATTTACATTTGGGGCATGTACTGTTATTTTCTTGGTTCTTTCGGTAAAGTCACGTAGAAGGCGAGGACGGCTGCTTGCGTTGTGGCTGAAACGTCGTGAGAATTATTTTATCATGTTTTGTTTTTATTATTTTATTGCTTCCTTTCTACGTGACTTTACCGAAAGAACCAAGAAGATGAATCCCTGCAGTCACGAAAGCTTTAAATCGAAATTCATGTACTGTTAGTGAGCACCTATTAAAAGTGACACTGCACTCAGGGGGCTTTGTGGTGTGGCAAGTGCCACGACCGGCTACCTTTGTCTCTCCCCACAATGCTTGCACACACTGTACTAGGTATGAATTTAAAGACTGAGTCGACCTTGGGCAGGCCCATCACAGGTTCAGATACCAATCGCCTCTCATTTATCCATGGACTGAAATGAAACGTCACTCAGTCAGGATGTCCCGAGTCCTGGGGATGACCGACTGATATTGTCACACGCTCCGTAGCATACTGCAGTTCTCCGTGATCAGAGGTTTAAGGAGAGTGAAGAGATATGGTAGCTACCCTCAACAAAACAAGATTGATGTAAAAAAATTAAACTGACGATCGGGCAGTCACGCTGCAACTCACACTGGTCGTCGATGCCGTCCCGCAGGGGGACGTTGACAGAGTAGTAGCGCCCGCTCTCCGCACCCACCTCGTACATGTCACCTGTGAGGTGCGGCACACGGCAGCACGTCAGCCGCGATGTCACGCCACCGGTCCTGCCCCACACTCAACACTGTCTAAATATTATAAAAAGTAGAAAAACTTTTTTTATTTTAACAGGTAAGAATAGGTGTTAAGATTTTCAAATAGAAAATAGATAACTTTTGCAAAGTATCAAGTCCGTATTAACCACAAGTACTTGCTGTAAAAACATGCAAACAAACATGGTCTGGATAGGATACGCATTGAAAATGTATCTATTTGTTGTTTTAATATCTTAACACCTATTTTATTAGGAATAGGGTTTTTCCACTTTTTTCTGGCAACAAAACTGAAACTTTTTTTACAAGGAATCATGTCTGCATTAACCACAATACTTGAGGTCAGAATGCAAACAAAAAACACACTGCATTTTATTGCCAGAAAGGGTAAAACCTATTCTTATTTTTCATACTTTGAGCTATATAGCTGTTTTTTCAGAAGTGACCTGGCCACAAATGATAGCCCAACGAAATGGCTTATCAAGCGGAAATTTATAGCAGCCAAATACACTAAACGCATGTTTCAGTTGAAGCGTTCGCCGCTTGTTTCAGAGGTTGACGGTTCGAATCCAGCGGCCACCCCGATTAATACTGCGGGTTTATAATATCCATGATACACTCCCGCTGTCTGCTTCACAGTGGACTTTGCTGCATAGCCCAACCTGCTGCCCATCACGTAGCCCTACAGCAGCCTATAACACCTGTTATTATTGATGGTGGTTGCCCATCCAACCACTATCCAGGCTCAAGTCTGCTCAGTTTTGGAGAACTGATGAGATCGAGCGAAAGTTATTTATACAGTTAAGGCAGTGTACACCAACAACAGACCAAGCATATGTTCCGGAAAATAATTCTTTCAAACATGACTAGGAGGCCAAGAGATATAGAAATATTTTGACAAATGTCAGTAGTTGTTCACGAATTGTTACGCAGGAACTTGAAGCACATTCGAGATAGACAGCAACTAATCGCTTGATACATTATTTGGTGATATTGCGTTGGCAGTGTTGGACAAGCACAACAAAACTTGACACGTTGGTAAAGAACACTGTGACCTTAAAAGCTAAAATGTATAACTGGCGACGTTTCGAGCAATGGCCCTTCTTCACAGCATATTAATGCAGGCCAGAAAGACAGAGTGGATAACAGAAGTTGAAGACTGTATACTTTACACGATGGGACCTGATGAGAATTACAACACGTTTAAAAGACGTTTAACAGCTTAAGAAATAAATAATTCCGGGGGTGGGGGGTGGGGTGGGTGCCCCTCTCACCTGTTCCGGGGAAAAAGTAGTTCCCATATTTGTGGAAGGACACGGTCATGACGCGGTCGGTGAGGTAGAAGGCTTCCTGCACCCCGTCCCCGTGGTGGATGTCAATGTCGATGTAGAGCACACGCGGGTGGTACCTGCGCGCGCAGTGGCACCGACGATCGCTCTCTCACGCATGGCTAACGAGAGACACGGCCCACGACTGACCGAGTGTGTGGGGGCAGCGCTCTGTCCATCAGCGGAATGGCACGTACGTGTCAATGGATGAAGGCCTCTCCGCGCAATGGTCGGTCGTGAACGTGCTAACTTCACCATGCTGGTCAGCGTGGGTTCGGTGATGGCAGTGAGTTTAGACATGGGAGCACATTTGGAGTTCACACGTCTCTCTCCCCGTGGTCGTGTGGATTATTCTCCGTGTCCTACGGTTTCGCCCTACACATTTTGAATCAACATGCGTTGAGAGTATTTGACTGCTATACATTTTCACGTGGTAAGCCACTTCGTTGAGCTATCATTTGTGGCCAGGTTGATTCTGAAAAATATCTATATAGCTCAGTGGGCCCTACCTGCTAAAATAAAGAAATAGTACATAGATATAGTACGACAATTTATATTGCAGCACTACCCTCTGCTGCCCAGAAAGTAACCCATGTGGGGACTGCGTGGATAAAAGGGCCGTAACTTATTATAATTATTTAATTACCTTTACTTTGCAATCACCAGCAGCTGTTTAATATGCAGATAATAATAATGCCTAATTACCCAGGAAAAAGTGGAAGCAGTGGTTCTGTGGTTAGCACACTGCGTGATGAACCTGGTGGACCCAAGTTGGATGTCTGGCCACGGATATGACCAATGGATATATCTGTACTGGTCCCGGGCCCCACTTCACCAACCTACACTGACCAGCATAATGAAGTAGAGTCAAACAATCCGTACAGCTAATATGGCGTAGGGCAACCTTCATCGAGCAGTGGATAGACAAAGGGCTGTAAATTATATAGGTGCCCAGTGAGAGTCGGCATCTCTTTGTTCACCGAGGCTTGCGTTTAAATGAGTCGAGCAAAAACAGCAAATTATCATGCATAAGCAAAATCAATGCAGGAAGTAACATTTGAGAAATGTACAACTTACTGAAGAACATTAAATAATTACATTCTCAATAAAGATTAAATATTCATATCAACTTTAAAAATGAACACTAACTTGCATGCATGCAAATAAAAAAACATTTGCATTAATAATTGCAAAATAGCAACTCTTAAGAATAATCACCAATTTATTTAGCTTTGCTTGGAACATCATTTTAGAATAGACCACTTTGGCCATGCTGCTCAAAACATTCACCCTTGGGCTGGCCGTTATATGAAGTATATTACAGCAAACAATTTAATCGTGGAAGTAAATTAATCCTGGAAATCAAGAGACACAACAAACTTACTTCAACAGCTCCAGGATGGCAATAACTATGTCATTGACATAGCAGAATCCCGATGCCTGAAAACACAGTCAAGAGAAGATTTGTTTAGATGACACAAACCAGCAGCGGCAAACACACAACACAGCAAGACATACCAGCAGTTTTCCCTTCGCCGATCTAATTCCACCGGAGAAGCCGTCCGTTTTGTAAACCTTATTTTCACGTGAAAAAGCAAAGACAACTTTCTGATGAGCAGAACACGTTACCTCAAACTTCTTGGCGTGATGAAGCCCACCAGACCAATTGATTGCAATATCGCACATCTAATTTGGGGGGGGGGGGAGGGGGGTTAAAGGGATATGACACACACACACAAGAAGCAAATGTTTTAGCAGCAGAATGTACTGGGAGTGATGCTATCCACTCCCAACACCAAACCTGCCCCTGGAGTGTAAACCCAGATATTGAGCTGCTCAAAACTGTGCGGCGATATCCACCCGATGTGTTAGGATCCATTAATGAATGCGATCGTATGGGCACGAGCGGGAAGTGAGCTCACCTTGTTGTTGAGCTGCGTTGCTCCCTGCAGAGAGGCACCTGTGTATCTTGCGCAGAACTCGAAGAGACCAGGAAACACAGGGCTGTGGGAATGACAACGCCACACGGTCAGTGGAAAACCAGCCCGATGCCTACAGCAGATGATAGAACTGTTGGAACTTTCCTTGTTGTAACCCTCAAATGTTTTGCAACATCGCAATTCGGTGAATTGTAATGATGTAGGGTCGCGGTTCAACTGCAGAATCAAGTCTTTTACCATTGTGTTGCATTGTATCCCCTTCTACTGGCTGTAGGGGCGATCTGAACTAATTTTATGCATAAGAATCAGAATAGATCATCAACTTGCGACACTGAAAATCTCGCTGAATCATTGGTCTGTCCAGATTCAAACCCAGGACCTGAGTGGTGCCAGCTCTTCATTTATGTATTGATGCATTGTTTCACATGACTGTAGGCATTGGAGAGTGCTACATTCACCACAATACGAATGAAAATATTATTTAACCATTTGATTATACACCTGAAACTAGACGACTGAGTGAACGTCTAGAAGGGATGGGAGCGAATCGTTACACCCCTACAAATATGAAATATAAAAAAACGCAACGCCAAATTGCAAAATACATCGACTCATAAGGGATGGAGGTTCAAAACCTTATGCTAGAAGTTGTGATTTTACACCCAAAAGTAGAGGGTGGTGGAGTAGGAGTAGTAAAAAAATCCCACCAGTCGTCCCCGACGTTGAAAGTGTTGAGGCTCTTGGTGAAGCCCTGGATGTTGTGGGGCGTGACGCGCTGCAGGAAGTCAATGTACTCCTCCGAGTGGAAGCGGCACATGTCGTGCTGCGACGCGCGGTACGGCTTGTAGACCTGCGGAACGCGGGGCGCAGGGACCGTCACCGACAATGCAAGCCGGGCGCCTTGCACACCAAGCCTACGTGTACAGCAGCAGCAGCAACCTGTTATTAATCCATTGCTGGTCGAAGGCCTCCCCCTGTAGTGCGAAGTTCATTTGGCCAAGCTTCTCCGAGCTGGTCAGTGCGCCGATTGGTGTTGGAAGCGTTCAGACAAACTGGCTTTTTCATCCACGCTGCAATGGTGATGTTGCATTAATTTTTGTATGTGTGTGTGTGTGAAGCCATCACATTTTTAGATTAAAAAGCCATATTTTCGAAAACCAAATTTAACCGCCTCCAAAAACACAAGAATTGATTTGACATTTTGACCGTGAGGTTGCCCAAACAGTGAAGAACAACCCTGGTGAAAGTGCACAGCCACTGACCATCATCTTTTTGTGAAGGCCATAGTGCAGCACGAGACTGTGGGTGAGCGCCAGGCGATGTGGCTTCATCGGGTGGCCAGGCCCTGGGCACACGGGGAAAACAAAGAGGCATGGACTTCATACAGTGGATAGTACAGAGACGAAATGCTGCAAACTTGTTGGACACATGTACCCAAACTATTCTCCCCAAGGACTCAAGAGATCAAAACAAAGCCCACCCCCTAAAGAGCTTATATAGTTCCACCGAGCACCCCAAGTGTTTATAGGGCAAATGTTTACCCCCCACATGGACTCATTTCACAAAACTAAGCCCCCAAACGACTCATAAAACCAAAGCCCTTCCATGGGCTCAAAGAACCAAATTGTGACTCAGACAGACTCAAATCCAAACTATGCCCCCCAAGAATAACAACCAAAGCCCGCCCCAAAGATTCATATAGCAAAAACCTTGTCCCACTCCCCAAATAACTAACGAAATCCCACCACGTTATCATACAAACTAAGCCCCATGGACCAACAGAACCAAACTTAGGCCCTCCACAATGACTCATTCCCCCCAAAGGCTCACAGAGCGCCCCCTAATCTCCCAAAAAATCCTCAAAGAGCCACAGACCCTCACACGACAAAGAACATCCACTGCACTGCAACACATTGCGCCCAATGTAACCCAGCGCTTGGTGGATAGCATAGAGGGTGCCTTGCCATTAAACCCAGGCTCGCCCGGATGCGGCTGTCCAGCAAGTGTGAGACTAATTGCCATCTGTTTCCATCTGTACGTTGACACCCGTGTGTGTGTGTGTTGCTACCACCCACCCCACTACCTCCCACACACCTTCGCTCAAGTTTTTCTCCGGGTGTTCCGATTTCCTCGCGACGCGGGACAATGAACTGCCATCAATTAAATGGCGCAAAAAACATCTTCATCAGAATATTTATTTAGAAATCCTATGAGCTATAAAGATCTTCCCCGCTCTCCCCCACACTACAGATGTCCGTAAAAATAATAAAAGAATAAACCCGCTGTGGCAGCCCCCCCCCCCCCCCTTGCTGATAAAGACTCAGTGCGACTCTTGCGCGAGACAAATAGAGTAAGTAAAGATAAATTATGTTACAGTCGACTAAATAACAAAAACCCGCGTAACGCGGCCGATTGAAGCCTAAGGATCGCGAAACCCACCAGCCATTTGGGTCGTGAACGCAGCACAACAACAACAACAACAAACGCCACAACACAGGGACCGTGCAACAGCTTTCTGACGGTTCCTGGACGACGACGGATCGTCCAGGGTTTCGCTCGTCGCTTCCTTCCTCGCGTCCGCCCTGCCTCCCTCACCGTAGTGGAAGTTGCCCACGTCCGCATCGTAAAAGTAGGAGACCCGTGCCGCCATTGCAGCACCGCTGAGGCGGCTTCCACATTTCCCAGGGCGGGGCGGGGCGAGGGGCGGGGCGAGGGGGGGGTGGTGGGCGGGGCGGGGGGCGGGGCGTCCTCCGATGCGCGGACGCTGATTGGCTCCCTTCTCATCTCATTAACATAATCTATTTTTCATTAACATAATTTATCCAGCATCAACAGAATTTATGCCTCCGAAACGTCGTGATTCTTAAATCCTTTATATTAAGTTCACGTGCTTGCTTGCTTGCTTACGACCGTGCAAATCTTTCGGTCGTTTTTTTAACCCACTTCCCGTGATCCAATCGAGCTGACATTTTCCACACAGACTCGTTGTGCGTGACAATTCATTTTCGTGAAATTTTTTTTCCAAAATTTTACACTGTTTAGGGAAAAACATTTAAATATTTAATTACCAATTGCTTAATGGTGGCAGACAATCGTCTGACCCATAGGTGGCAGCCATCTCAAGCCAGAGGACGAGAGGACTCTAGCCGCCACGCAAATAAAGGATTTATAGTGAAAAACTTAGTTTTTACTGGTTATACTTATTATTTTATTTTACTTTCATTAATTGTAATGTTTTACCTACGTGACTTTACCGAAAAAAACCTAAGAATAGAATTTATCTAGCATCAACATAATTTATCCAGCATCATCATAATTTATCTAGAATCAACATAATTTATCCAATATCAACATAATTTATCTAAACTTAATTTGGAGCTTTCGTGACTGCAGGAATTATTCTTTGGTTCTTTCGGTAAAGTCACGTATAAAGATAAAATTATAAATTAAATAAAATACTAGCATACGACGTTTCGATTGCAAAACAAGCAATCATCATCAGGTATAAATTAAATAGAAACACAAATCTAGTATACTTAGAAATGTAATGTAATACAACAGAGAGTCGGATCGCATAACAGTCAACACCCTACCTGGTTGATTACGTTCTTCCTAAGAATGCTAAATTTGAGAGAGAGAGATCAAACACAGAACCAGAGACATATAGACAGACATATAAGCAGACCGATATCACAGAGATACATAGAGAGAGAACAAAACTAATTTATTATTTTATCCTGATACGTGACTTTACCGAAAGAACCAAAGAATAATTTATCTAGCATCAACATTATTTATCTCGCATCAACATAATGTATCTATCATCAACATAATTTATCTATCATCAACATAATTTATCCAACATCAACATATTTTATATATCATCAACATCATTTTTCTACATTAACATAATTTCCCGTATGTTTATGTTTTGGGGCCGTATATGGAGAGATGGGGCGTAGCTTTGCCCTCGAGAAGGAATACTGGAACGGGGGTCGACAGCACAGCAGTTCATAATAGAGGTTTTATGGGGTGAGATCGCGTAAATATATAAATGTGTCGTTAAAACCCGCCACACACCCGACACAGCCAACTAGTAAGGGTTCTCACGTAAACAGAACGTGGCAAATTTGTCACTAGTACAGCACTAGTGTGTAGTGTATAGTGTAGTGTATAATAGTGTATAGTGTAGTGTATAGTAGTGTATAGTGTAGTGTATAGCAGTGTATAGTGTAGTGTATGGTGTAGTGTGTAGTGTATAGTGTAGTGTACTAGTACAGCACACCGGTGTTGTAGAGCCAAGCTACATCGTTTACAATCCGAGTACGACGTTTCGCCAGTAATTACAACCAGCTTCACCAGGCGACAGCCAGATTTGTGGAGAAGTCTGTTTAGTTCCTTAATGTAGAGGCGCTTCTGACAACCCTCACTAGTTGGCTGTGTCGGGTGGTGGCGGGTTTACCGACACATTTATATATTTACGCGATCTAACCAAAAAAACATATTAATGAAGTATAGTGTAGTGTATAGTAGTTGTAGTGTATAGTAGTGTATAGTGTATACCAGAGGTGGGACAAAGTCATTGTTATGCAAGTCCAAGTCGAGTCTGAAGTCATCAAATTCATGACTCGAGTCTGACTCGAGTCCAAGTCACATGACTCGAGTCCACACCTCAGGTGTATACTAGTAGCGTACCTGTCAACCCATATGGTTTACCCCGTATTCTTGTACGGCGTACAGCCGTTTCATTGCGGTAAATTAAATTGTCAATTTGTTTGTGTTTCTCCCTTGTGATGGGACTTTGTAGGATGAACGTTGAGATTTATGAAGGGCACGGGGTGACCACTAAGGTCTGTAATAAGGTTTGCAGCACTGATAAGGGGTTGACAGGTATGAGACGGTATTTTTAACGATTCAATGGGAATCGACCGATTTTTAAGGATCCAAAGCCTGACCGATGCTTGATCCATGCTCAAACACATTAGCTGTGATATTTAGAAAATATTTTTTTAAATAGTTAAAAGTGTATTCTTGGGTCTTTCGGTAGGTTAAAAAAAACGTTTTCTTTGTTATTTTTTGCTATTTTCTTTGAACTTATCTACGTGACTTTACCGAAAGACCCAAGAATACGAATGAATTCCTGCAGTCACGAAAGCTTTCAGTCAAGATTTAGTTCAAAGTAATTCCTGTAACATTATTTCTCGAAACCGACGATTTGCTAATCGCACACGATTCCCGGTTCCAAAGAGACGATTTGTGGATCGGAAAGGCCCACATTAGACCGCCCCTTGACGCTGATTGGTTTCTTCACATTAACATAATTTAACTCATTCAGTTGCGCCCAGATTAGACCGCCCCTTGACGCTGATTGGCTGCCTACATTAACATACTCTGTTTTTTTTCGGTAAAGTCACGTAGGTAAAACAATTAATAAAAGGCACTTTTTACACCTGATGAGGGAGGCTTGTGTTGCCTCCGAAACGTCGTGATTTAATTTATTTGTTTTCATTTATTTTATTTTATTAATTGTTTTACCTACGTGACTTTACCGAAAAAAACAAAGAGTATGAATCCTTGCAGTACGAAAGCTTCAAATCTAGAATTACATTAACATAATTTATCATTCATTCTGTCGCGGATTCATTCAATCCTGTTACAGCCACGACGGCCAAATTGCTTATCCGCGGTGGGGGATCTAATGGGAGGGTATTCAGAAATCATCAGAATGTTTACATAGTTAGACTGGAGGAGGAATCCGATGAGCTATGAAGCTCTTTTTCACACATGTCCAGGTCATAAGGTTACAACAACGTTACAACAAACATTACAACAACAAAAACGATAGGAGTGCAAAGTATAGGAAATGTAAATAAATCACTTAAACAAAATATATCTATATATCCATATAGTTTATATGGGTAGAGAGACAAGCGAGTAGAAATCGGAATAAAAATAATCGAATAGAAAATCACATTACACACAGAGCAATAGGGATGTCACAAAAAAAAACAACCCCGCCCACACTCCAAAATATTGTGACACAGCGCAGTCCAATAAAAAAAAAGCACACGCACACTCTCTCGCACATTTGTGTTAACCCTTTATTGAACATCCGACCAGCACCGATTTATGGTCACAACACAGTGCAGAGAGCCAATACTGTATACGTACGCCATGGATATATACAACAACGCGAACGGCGCGCGCGAATGTATCCCCGCTCATCATCCCATTATAGCGACATTACACACAGCAGGGCTTCATTTCAGCCGGGTCCACGACCCGGGGGTGAAAGAAAGAAAAAAGAAAAATTCCGCGCCCGGCACACCGCGTCCAGTATACGCCTCGATTATGGCCGTGGCGACTTGCTTGGGTCATGTTGCCACCCGCCGCTCCATCAGGATAATACCGGGGCACCCGGAATAAATACTCCGCACGCGGCACACAACATCCAGTATACATCTCGTGATGGCTGTGTGGTCGTATGCCTACCAGCGAACCCCGAACATCGTTCACCACCCGGCACACCGCATCCAGTATACATCTCGTGAATGGTTGTGGCTATCGGGTCCCGTGGTCTAACTCCAGTTTATCAGCGAACCGGAACATATTCGATAGAAATCGAGCCCTACCTTATCATATACGACTAGTCACCATTGCTGGTGCGGACTGTATTTATATTTTATAGAGCCTATATAAGCGAACACGAAAGTATGTTGACGACGATTTATATGACACGCTAACCGGATGGGTATATGTACAACGACGAAAACCGGTTCGGCTAATTGATATTGTCATTATGTTCATCGACGATGCTCGGTTATCTTGGGGATAAACTAAATAAATACAAAGTCGTACACGGTTGTAGGGTTATTGTCTGACAGGCGAGCCACATTAAATGCCTGAGAAGCTCAGGCAATCGTGAAACTGCGGACCAAACAAAGGAAAGAACGGTGTCTAAACGCCGGCACGTCAGAATTTGGGATTTTGTCGCGTGCTAGTGATATGGTGATGTGTGTGTGTGCGATTCGTGTATAGTTTCCTTTGGGCGAGATCGTCACGTAGGTACAATGTCAATCATGAATGAAAGAAGAATAGCTTTTTTCCTTTGCTGGCAATAAAACCGGGGGCGTTATGAAGATGTTCAAGCGCCAAATAGAAACCTTTACAAAGGAACCAAGTACTGCATTAACCACACACGGTACGTGTGGCGAACATGCAAACAAACATCGTCAACTGTTTTGTTATTCACTGCTGTATTGTATAATCATCCACCGCGAGACTGAGCTGATAAAATCAATCTTTCACACGTCACGGGTAAATACATCCCCAAATTGGTTGGGGTTTCCACGGGGGGAAAAAACGGGACATTTTGAAAAGTAAAATTGTTACAATTGACAGTCTTAAATTTCGATTTAAAGCTTTCGTGACTGCAGGGATTCATCTTCTTGGTTCTTTCGGTAAAGTCACGTAGAATGGAAATAACAAAATAATAAAAATAAAACATAATAAAATAATTTATCTGGCATCAACATTATTTATCTCTTCTTGGTTCTTTCGGTAAAGTCACGTAGAATGGAAATAATAAAATAATAAAAATAATTCAACATAATAAAATAATTCACACGACGTTTCGGCCACAACGCAAGCAGCCGTCCTCAGGTGGAGAACAGGTCTGTCGATGAATTGACAGTCTTGTTCGACGTTTCGCTTGAGATGCCTACATCCAGCGGTAACAAGGGCTACGCTCTTGCGTGAGAGCGCAACCTTGTCATCGTTCCTCCGGCTTTGCTGAAAAAACAAATAATTTGGCCGTGCAGTATCATTTAGCCCCCGTGCCAACCTGACTTGATTGGCTTTGTCGTGTGGTGGGTTATAGTTAAACACAAATTCACATTCTACCGACACGATTTAACCCGAACCAGAAACTAACGATACATCTTAATATTGGTCATGAAAGCCTACGGGTAAAATGAGTGTGTGTGTGCGTGTTTGCATGTTTGCATGTGTGCGTTTCGTGTGTTGGCTGAGAATGTGGGTGACTGGACAACCCCGTGGGTGAGTGTCATTTCGTGAGCTATTTCATGAGTTCGACTATGACATTTCCGCGAGAAACAGACCACTTGCCCATATTGGATGGACGACGAGGTACGTACATTTGTACACATACACACACACACGTACAAAACAAAGATCCCCCGTATAGCCTTAATAGACTGTAGGGGCAAGTGCTGTTAGCGAGCACCTATGAAGGCCGGAACGGTACACGAGGGGGTGGGTGGCCAGCACCACGCCCGACCGCCTTTGTCTCCCCAGTGGCGATGTTTACACACCGCACCAGGTACTCATTTCAGGCTGAGTCGACCTAGGGGAGGCCCAGGACCGGTTCAGATAATCTTCACTGGTGTTGGCCGTGAGCGGGAATCGAACCCGTGTCTCCGGGTTCATAGCGCAGCGCGCTAACCGCTGCACTACCGCTCCCCATACACATACACACACACACACGTACATACGTATCTGTATAAAGTATTTTCAGGACCCTCTGGAAAAAGGAGTTTTGAGACTCGCCGAGACGCTTCTGGATAAATAAATGGCATCAGCATAATCAGCAACATCATCATCATCACTCACTATAATATTCCGTCGCCCTTGGCAGTGCGTACTTAATTACTTTGTTTTCCCGGGTCGACCAGGACGTTTAAATAATACTTAGCTTCGGGCAACCACGCGTTAGTTAACACACACACACACGCGCGCGCACTCGAGTCAGTTCTCTAACTACCTGCTGAGGCCCACGCAGAGAAGTGACTGAGGGTGCTGAAATAATTTGTAAAAAAAACAACTTTTATGTTTAAAATCAGATCTAATTTTTTTTACCCTCCTTATCTCCCCCCGCCCCACTCCCACCCGCCCACCTAGTCTCTGATTAGTGCGGCTCAGATGCTTGCAGTGACGGACACGTTTCGTTTCCGAGTGGTTAGGCATTAACGTTGTGGCCGCGGTTGGGTGAGAATTGAAGTTGCGTGGTGCACGCCGGGCACGGGGCTCCAGGGTGCGCGATTTTACAACTTGCACGGTAACGCAATTAGCCACAATTCGCAACAGACGCATCAAAAGGCGTGGCTTTTAAAGTTGTGACTCTGTCCGTACCAACACGACTCCCGACATTAATATTTTCATCATCCCTCGTCGTCGTCATCATCATCCAGAGCACTTTTAGATTTCGATTTAAAGCTTTCGTGACTGCAGGGATTCATCTTCTTGGTTCTTTCGGTAAAGTCACGTAGAAGGGAAATAATAAAATAATACAAATAAAACGTAATAAAAATAATTCTCACGACGTTTCGGCCACAACGCAAGCAGCCGTCCTCAGATGAAGACCAGGTCTGTCGGGGAGACAGCGCTGTCACTTTTAGATTCTGTACTTGGAAAGTAATAAAAACCCGAGCCCTGATATTGATGAACGCGGTGGCGTTTGTTGTGTCGTTCCGTTCTAAATGTTACAGTCGTGTATACTGCGCATGTAGAGTCTACACACCTATGTTCTACAAGTCACCTACCTGTATGTTGAGATATATATTGCATATACAGTGCTCGTGGGGGTGGATGGAAGGGGAGTGGTGGCGCAGTGGTTTGCGCATGGCGCTCTATGAACCCGGCCACCTGAGTTCGACCCCCGGACACGGCTAACATCGGTGGCTCACCGACTAATATCCGAACCGGTCCTGGGCCTCCCCCCCCCTCCCTTGTCGTCACCAATTCACACAAGCCTCTGTGGTGAAGTATGTTCACACAAACCCTTGCGACCCACACGAAGTCGGGGCGGGGGGGGGGAGAGGGGGGGGCTTCATCTAGCAGTGGATTGAAAATGAACTAAAATGATTATACTGTTTAATTGCGCTCGTGGCACGATGTACAGTATATATTACACTAAGCGCATTGCATAAAGCACATACAATAGCATTTCATATATACTGCATATCATAGCGTGCTACAGCATACTCACGTAATAAATACATATGGACTATAGCGTCCGATATACACTATATCACACACTATAGCACTGCTACAGGGAGGGGGGAGGCGGACAGACCTCGTGCGATTTGTCGCGAAAAGACGTCATGTGATGGCACTCTTCTGGGCAGAGTAAACGACGGTCTATGGCAGCCCTGGGTGGTTCAAGGAGTCATCGTGATCACCAAAGTCTCCATCATCATCATCATCATCATCGGCGTCGTCATCTTGATCATCGCATCAGAATGGCGATTGCCACCATCGTCATCATCTCGGAATAATCATCTCCGCTGTCGTAATGATCATTGTCATCTTCATTATCCGCAGACGTCATTCGCTACAGTGATCACCATTCGGCTTTCTCATCATAATCTTCAATGAAAACTACTACTATCATCATTATCAACATCCATCAATAATTAAAACTACTATCATCATCATAATCGCGATCATCTTTCAGCACGCTCATGTCATCTCTAATCATCAATATCATCATCATCCTCTTCTATCAATCACCAGTACATCCATATCAATCGACCACATGAACATGTTCATTATCAATCGTCATCGTTAATTTCAATCACCCACCACATCACTACCACCACCTCCGTTTCCTTCTCCCTGACAATCAGTCCTCATATCCGTTCCTCATCCTCTCCATCCTCCACCACCACCACCACCGGTATCACGTCGCCCTCCTCAACCCTCTACGCTCTAAACCCCCATCTCCCGTCTCCTCCTTCTCCTCCTCCCGTCTCCTCCTCATCTCCCTCCCTCCCTCGCGCATCCATCCCCTCCATCCACCCCCTCTTCAGAAGATGTGGCTCTTCACTGGCGAGGGCTTCATGCCTGCGGGCCGCTGCAGGGACGACAGGACGCTGGCGAAGGGCCCCCCCAGGGCCTCGCACACGGTCACCCCGGGCACGGGGCTCGTCCAGGCCGCGGCCGTTGCCGCCGCGTGAGCTGCCGCCGCCGCCGCCGCCGCAGATCGTGCGCCGCAGTCGGAAGCGGGACTCAGGCTCCCGCATGACCCCACGGGTCCCACGCCGCCACCGCCGCCGCCACCGCCGCCGCCGCCTACTCCTCCGCCAGCTCCTCCCGACGATTGCACGGTCACCCCGTGCGGGCCCGACGGGATGGAGAGACCGCCCGAGGATATCGCATTGCCGTTCCCGACTCCTCCGCCTTGGACCGAGCCCTGACCGCAGGGTCCGATGCCGATTCCCAAGCCCACCCCGACTCCGCTGCTCGACGCGGTGCTGTCCGGTGCTGCGGATTTGACCTCCTTGGGGTCGTCGTCGGCGCGCGCCTCGGCTTTCTTGGCGGCGCACGCGTTCTTGGCGGCGCGCTCCTGCTTGCGGAACTTGGCGCGCCGGTTCTGGAACCAAACCTTGGGCGCGCCGAGGGGAAGGGACACGGGGAGATCGAGAGAGAGACAGAGGGTGGGGGAGTGATGATATTGACATGAGAGAAATCGAGATGCGTACATCGAGTCAACGTTTCGCCGAAGCGGCGCTCGTATGCCCTTTTGCAGTGCCGAGAACTGTGATGGAAATTCCACATTGCCGTGGCGTGGGAGAGGCTACCTGTAGGGCAACCACTGTTCACTTCCCCCACACAAAGTGGTGATGATGATGAGCGTAGGCCACCACCAGGCGGAATTGACTGAAGGGATGACCGTTGAGGACAGAGTGCACAATGATGCATTGCGCAGGTCGATTTCTGCAGCAGAGAATGTACTAACTAGTTGATGCGTTCTATCCCACCCACCCCTACAATCTGTGAACTTAAAAGGTGAACAACGGCTTTGGTCGACGAGTAGAAACCGGCACGTGGTCACGAGCTCAGCACGATCGCCAACACCACTGTGGAAGAAATAAAAGTATATGCTAATAGGCGACGATTCGGGCAATGGGCCTTCCTCATAGCACATGTTCTTAATAGCGACTATGCAGTCAATTGTCCATCATAGCGCATTTTCTTTCCGTTTAAGGCCACGCGCAGTGTTATTCACGAATGTGTTGAGTTTGTTTGTTATTTGTGCTTGCGCAATCACTGCCACCGACGAATCACCAAAATACGTTACGTATTTAGCTTCGTAGCTAGCAGTGGACTCCACGTTTTGACTGCTCTAATCGACGAGCCTCGGAAGAATGACTCCACGAAATCCACAGGCTGAGACCAGTGCCGCATTATCCTAGTAGCAAAAGTAACTACACATGTAGCTACGGGCCCCGCACTTTCAAGGGTCCCGCGCGAAATGCTTTCAAGCTATCAATTCTGGTGAATCTGCACTTGCTCTATTACGATAGTACTATACTGCCTTCAACTTCTATGAACGACTGGGCGTTTAAGATTAGCGATTTGTCGTATTATCTGGCTGTATAGCAAATGAAAAAATACAATTACTTTACTATGCAAGTAAAAAAATGTATATGTTTTAATATTTATGGTTTTTTAATACAGGGCCCCTTTATAAAGTATGCTACAGGCCCCGCACTAGCTTAATCCGGCACTGGCTGAGACTTGATTATTGCTCCACGAGTTGTCGTCGACGCGTCTAAGACGACGAGTGAATAAATACAGACATGCCGAGCTACGACTAAATAGACGCTGCTGTGATCCAGTAACATTAGAGGCAAGGGTTGGTGGGTTACGTAGAGCAGTGGTTCGTAACCTTTACCGTAGCCTGCACCTTGTTGGTTCTCAATCGTAAAGAAAACGTTATGTCTGTAAAGAAATACAAAGGCTTGATGGAACAAAGTAGTTGCACTTCCGTGTCCGTGCCTAATTTGTCTTTTCGATTATTTACTTTCTAACACAAAATCTGGCCATGTTTCGCACCCATAGAAAGGGCATCTCGCACACCCCACGTTAAGAACCACTGGACGGAGAGAGATTTATCTTCTTGGTTCTGTCGGTAAAGTCACGTAGAAGGGAAGCAATAAAATGATAAAATAAAACATAATAAAATAATTCTCACGACGTTTCGGCCACAACGCAAGCAGCCGTCCTCAGGTGAAGACCAGGTCTGTCAGACGCTGTCTTCCCGACAGACCTGGTCTTCACCTGAGGACGGCTGCTTGCGTTGTGGCCGAAACGTCGTGAGAATTATTTTATTATGTTTTATTTTTATTATTTTATTATTTCTCTTCTACGTGACTTTACCGAAAGAACCAAGAAGATGAATCCCTGCAGTCACGAAAGCTTCAAATCGGAGAGAGATTTGTGAGACTCCTGCCTAACCAGCTGCAGTTTTCTGGGTGGCCAGGAGATGGCAGCACGCGATGATTAATTTCTCACGGGAAAGCCGGGCACGTGGTGGTGATGGTGGTGGTGGCTACGCGCGTGACTGTCTGTAAACCCAGCACTGCGTGTGGGGGCAGCAGAGAGGGTTGCTGGATCACACACAGATCCTGCCGAAACTCTCTTCCCGTTGGCGTTGAGGAAGTGCCATCACCTGGCTTGCCAGCAGAATGCAGTCGAGCAAAGTGTGTGTGGACTGACATCACCTGCCCCTTGTTTGATGGGCTCGGGCAGTGCAACTTCATTGCATGGCCCGCGGGCCACTGGCGCTCCCCCCCCCCGTGCGGCCCCCGACAATAGACAACACGTGACAACACGTGACAACACCTGCCCCCCCATCATCATCGTGCTGCTGTCAAACCCCCCAATGGTTTCAAATAGTGTGGCGGCCCTCGCACCGACGATGTCTTATCGGCGAAAGTGCCCCCCCTCTTTCTGAAAATGATTGAAGAGAACTGGGATAGAGCGATGTCCTCTGGCATGCGTGGGATTCTTTTCTGGGGGGGGGGGGGTGCTCCGGTTTCATCCCACGTTAATATACACTCACGGATTGCCTGGAAACATCTTAATATGGAGAGAACTGCAGAGCAATTGTTGGTGTCGGCTCACCACCCGACGGCACTTCCGACGTTGGCTTGTGGTCCCTTACCCGGGCGATTGTGAGATGCAATTTGCATGCAACGACGCGATATAAAGCTAATGATTAAAACAGATTTTCAGAAGATTGTGTTTTATTTATAAATATTTACCGAGACGCTAGTGGACCGGAGTAGTTGCCACGTGACGAGTACATTAGTGGCCACAGTGATACGTCAAATATATACTGGACGTGGGTTGCCGGGATCAGAAATAATCCAATGCTGGATGAGGGTCTCCCCACCCCGTACGGATCGAGGGGGTCATTTCACCATACTTCACCACGACTTAGCTATACACAGCCCTCTACATAACCCCGCAGCAGAATATATATAAACACCTTGCTGTGTGCATAGCGGTCACCTATGCAAGGGCTCTCCAGGCTCCATCCTGCTTAGCTTCCTGATATCTCGATATGGCGAGGTCATGCCACGTGCTCGTGGGTTCTAAACAAAAGTCATTGATTGCTTCATTGCAACTTCGCGTGTTACCGACACACCGAGTTATCCCCGAGTTGATCCCCTCCCCACCCTCCCCATAATATATCTACGTAATAATTGACACAATATAATAACTATGATAGTGTAATATTGTTACGCATTGACGGTCACGACAGGGGTAACTGATGTAAAGTGATGATGATGTTCAGGAGAGAGGCAAGAGATGTGAAATTTGGCAAACATTCAGCAAAGTGCACACAAAAACAAAATTAATAAAACTACGTATTTTTTCTTCTTATATATTTCGACCTCAAAAGAATCGCGGCATGGACGTTGTCGATTGGTTTTACTCATAGAGCACAGACAATCTAAAGTTCTACATCGCGTTAAACACCGACGAACTATATGAACCCCCATTGGAACCTCATTTGCCAGTAAAAAATATGATAATTGTTTTTTTACCCTTCTATCTGGCAACAAAACTGACACCTTTTTTTACAAGGAGTCATGTTTGCATAGACCACAATACTTGCAGTCATAATGCAAACAAAAAACACACCTCTGATAATGTATGCACTGTCAGAGTTATGTTTTTTGTTTGCATTTTGACTGCAGGTATTGTGGTCTATGCAAACATGACTCCTTGTAAAAAAGGTGTCAGTTTTGTTGCCAGATAGAAGGGTAAAAAAACAATTATTATATGAACCCCCATCAATGGTCAGTGAACCCGATCCATTCGCCTGCCGTGGAGTGTGACGCTAAAGACGATATAAAGTAGCGTCTTGTAAATATTTATTTACATTCTCAATCACATATTCTTGATTTCTTTCGGTAAAGTCACCTAAATAGAAAACCAAAAAAATCGAAAAATAAAAGCAAAAAACCAAAACGACGTTTCGATCGCAACACTTCACCAGTCTTCATCAGGCGGAGAAGACCGCTTGTGTTGCGATCGAAACGTCGTGGGTTTTTTGCTTTTATTTTAGATTTTTTTTGTTTTCCATTTCCGTGACTTTACCGAAAGAACCAAAAATATGAATTCTTGCAGTCACGAAACTTTAAAGTCCGAATTCTCAATCCCTTCATGGATGAAAACTTCCCCAGCCATATCGATGAACGTGTAGAGGTGGGGGGTGGGGGGCAGACACGTGGCGAGTTGGAACAGTTAGTGAGGCACAGCTGGCGCATCTGCCGGTCATCTCAGTCAGTCAGTCAACCCGTGGCACCTGGCACTGTCCCGTGACCTCCTGCCAGCAGCGAGCCTTCGACACTTCACGTGGCCTCGGAGTGCACCTCAGAATCTGTATTTTATACTGCAGGAGGAATCCGATGAGCTATGAAGCTCTTATTTTTCTACGCCCCCCCCCCCCCCATCACAGATGTCCAGTAGAGGGCGGGTCGGAGAAAGTTACATTACCACCGCTTAGTGACGAATGACGGCTGCTGTTGTTGTTGTTGTTGTTCTATATATTGAAACACTTACGTTAGCCAAAACACATGTTTACCCACATCCTTCTCTATACGCGCGTTTGCATACACTACGGTTTTGGGGAAGGAGGGTGGATTGGTGGCGCAGCAGTTAGCGGCACCGTCGAACAGAATCTCATTCGTGTGAACTGTGCCTGGACTCCCCGTCCCTCCACTCACTTCACCAACCCGCACTGACCAGCGTGGTGAAGTATGGTCAAACGACTCCCCACCATGGCCCACAGGGCGTGGGGAGGCCTCCATCCAGCAGTGAGTTGACAAGGGGCGGTAAAGTATTCTTGTTTTTTTTTAGAATAATTATATTGATGCGGCTATTGTAAAGGTGTGTTTAACACCGATAGTTAACGCCACTTAAAATATAGCAACATTTACACAATAGTAATATAAATTACATTCTACGAATAAAACGTCGTTTTCTTTCGCACGTACGGTGCGAAAGAAGCTCGCCATAAATATAGACATACATAAGCTCGTTTGCCTATGTATAGTATACATACAATCAAGACGGAGTGACTGACGT